TAAACAAAATCTTAAAAAAAAAAAATCCTCAAAACTATCAAGGTCACCAAAACAAGGAAAGTCTAAGAAACGGTCATAGCCAAGAGGAGTCTACAGAGACATGATAACTAACATCTTGGATGGCATCCTAGAACAGAGAAAGGACACTAGGTAAAAACTAAGGATATCTGAATAAACTATGGACTCTGGTTAATAATAATGTATCAATATCGGTTCACTAATTGTCACAAATGTGCCATACTATTGTAAGACATTAAGTGAGGTGGGGGGGATATGGGTTCTTGTACTATCTGTATCTTGTACTATCTGCTCAATTTTCCCGTAAATCTAAAACTGTTCTGAAAATTACATTCTATTAGTTTAAAAATTAAAATGGGAAAAAAGGCCTAATAGCCAAAAAGAAACTTAAATGTCCATCAGCTGATGAATGGATAAACAAAATGTGGTACATAGTTCAGCAATAAAAAGAAACTAAGTGTTGATACATGCTACAAGGGATGGATCTGGAGAACATTACGGTATGTGAAAGGAGTCAGAATAGGCCAATTATAAAAACAGAAAGTTGATGAGTGGTTGTTGGGGCTGGGAGCAGGGGGAAATGAGGAGTAACTGCTGATGGATAGTTTCTTTGGGGAGTGATGAAAATGTTCTGGAATGAGACAGTGGTGGTGGTGCTTGCCACTACCTGTGTATTATACTAAAGCCCTGAATTGTACACTTTAAAAAGGTAAAGTTTACCATATGTGAATTATATCTAAATAAAACTGTTATACAAAATATGTCAATGTAAAAACAAAGAGCCTTATTAATGAAAACTAAGCAACACTCCATTATGCCAAGTCACTCTACAAAAAAAAAAAAAAAGGAAAAGAAAGGAACTCTTACTGTCCCCTCCCATCAATTCTTCAGTGTTGCCATAAGAATCAAAAGCCTTCCTTTGTAGCCCCTGCAATATTTAACCTGCGGCCTAGTGCATGGTGGGCACTCCATAACACTTGGTGATTACTTCTTTCCTAACAATGACAGGGTTTTTTTTCTGAACAAACCTATTGGGCTCACAAAATGCTGTCCTAGTGTGAAAACCAAACTTTCTAAACTAATCTACAAAAACGATGATGATGTCTGGTTTCTTTCCATTGCACTCTGAAAATTAAAGGCAATATGGTCATCAAAAGTTAAAGTTGATTCTAATATTAAGACTAATTGAGAAAGAAAAATCTAGCATATCTTTCTCATCGAAGTAAGAAGGGCAAGTTGCTAGTCTATGAAGGCAGAATTTATTTCTTTCAATGTCACTTCCACAATGTATGGCATTTCTAACACTGGAATAGTCTTTTCAAAGCAATCTAAAAATAGTTTTCTCACCTACACTAGTAATCCAAAGACTATTACTCAATTTGTAGCAAGCAACCAAGCAACCAAGCTCCTAAGTGCTTAAAAGCTTCTTAGCGTTATTTTGCTGATAACTTCCTTCAAATGTCATGAGCTAATAATCACAGACTCTTTTAGTCCCCTGGTCTTCCCTCACACCTTGTGCTGACCCCTTCCTACAGCTTTCTTGCACTCAGAACCAGTGTTCTTGCCCCTTACTTACTAAAAGCTGGGAAAAGCCTAGAAAAGAACTATTTGCTTTAGGAAGATATGCAGAAAGCTTGAATTTTTTTTTAATCAAATCTTACTATAAAAAGAGAATTCACGTGTACTGAGACTCTGTATTCAGGGTGCTTTAAATTTCATCCCTGAACAACAGAGATTTGCATTTTATCTCCATCTTATGAATAAGGAGGCAAAGGCTCAGAGAGATTTAGTAATCTATCCTATTCTGTATTACTCAGTAAACTATAGAATTTTTATTTTTTAAAGATTTTATTTATTTGACAGAGCAAGACAGCGAGAGAGGGAACACAAGCAGGGGGGGAGTGGGAGAGGGAGAAGCAGGCTTCCCGCCGAGCAGGGAGCCCAATGTGGGGCTCAATCCCAGGACCCTGGGATCACGACCTGAGCTGAAGGCAGGCGCTTAATGACTGAGCCACCCAGGCGCCCCAACTATAGAATTTTAGATGAACTATGCCTAAACCTTGATCATCATCATGAATACCCTTCAAATTTTCTTTTTTTTTTTTTAAGATTTTTATTTATTGAGAGAGAGAGAGAATGGTAGAGAGAGAGCATGAGAGGGAGGAAGGTCAGAGGGAGAAGCAGACTCCCCGCTGAGCAGGGAGCCCGATGCGGGACTCGATCCCGGGACTCCAGGATCATGACCTGGGCCGAAGGCTGTCGCTTAACCAACTGAGCCACCCAGGCACCACCCTTCAAATTTTCTATAGTTAGCAGAGTAACAGCCCACATTATTCAGTGATTTGCCTTATAAAACAAATATTCTTTCCAGGATATCTGTGGCAAGTTCCCAAGTCCTCTGAAGTACGGGTTAAACCAATAATGATTCTGATCACGGAAAAATACTTCATTTGGGGAAAAATAAGAATGAAGAACAGGACAACACATCTTTAAAAGAACATATAAACAACATAAAAATACAGTGTAAAATCTAAATTAAAACAGTGAAGGGGCACCTGGGTGGCTCAGTCAGTTAAGCATCTGCCTTCGGCTCAGGTCATGATCCCAGGGTCTTGGGACAGAGCCCCACTTTGGGCTCTGCGCTGAGCTTGGAGTCTGCTTATCACTCTCTCTCTGCTCCTCCCCCCACCAGGTGCACACACTCTCTCACTCTCTCTCTCTCTCTCTCTCTCTCTCTCGCTCTGTAAAATAAATAATTTTTTAAAAAGCAAACTGCATTACAATATATAAGGAATATTTTATTTAAAACACACACATTATAAAAATAAAACCTTTCCTTGCGGATATTTATAACAAGCTTCTAAATCTCCTGAGGAAGCAGCTTAAATTATGGTTCTGATCATTGAAAAATAATTCACTTTGGGCAACAACATAAGCCATGTGTGTGAGTGAAGCTGACAACATTGCTTACCCCCCCCAAGGAGTGACATGACAGAAGGAGAAAGGTCAGGGGAGACTGACTTCATCTACAACGTTTGCATTTTTACAACACAAATATATTCAGTCAATACTTATGTGATAAAAAATATTTAAAGATTAATACATTAAAGAAAAAACAAATATTTGTGAGTTTGATAAAGACAGACTTTTAAGAGTATATATTAATATTACTTCAAACATTTCTCCAACAGGAAATTAAAGTAAGCTCTTTCTCATGGCCTAGAACAGATGAATCTAGATACTTATTGTTTGCCAAAGAACATCACGGAGTATGATTATGGCAACATTAACTATAAAATAAATCAAGTTTAAGTTGTTAGGAACAAGAAAAAATTTATCCAGGTTCTGCTGTGGGCCAGGAGCTGAGTTGGGTGCATTAGAAACCTATTCAATCCTCACAACAACCTTGAATGATTGATATTATCACTATCCACTTTATAAATACCAATCTCGAGAAAATACTTTGTCCAAGATTACACAGCCAAGAAGCAGAAGTGGAACTAAAGCCCAGATCAGACTCAAAAATCAGCTGAGTTTCTACTGGGCAATCTGCTACCACCAAGTAAGCTTATTCTCTCAACTATGAATTTAAGAGAATGGATTCAGGAGGCAAATGGATAAATACAGAGAACTTTTATTTAAAAAGGGACAGAATGCAGGGGAGGAGACAGATAATCTTTTTTTTTTTTTAAGATTATATTTATTCATTGAGAGAGAGAGAGAGAGCATGAGCGGGGGGAAAGGGCAGAGGGAGCGGGAAAGGGAGAAGCAGGCTCCCAGCTGAGCAGGGACCTGACCTGGGGCTCAATCCCAGGACTCTGGGATCATGACCTGAATCCAAGGCAGACACTTAACTGACTGAGCCACCCAGGCGCCCCAAGAGACAGATAATCTAATCAATTGGCCTTCCTCCAAACACTGGAGCCATTCAAGATACACAGAGATACTCTTTTACTTAAAATTCTGGAAAAAAAAAATTCCAAAGGGCATTGTAATAGCTTTCTGATATTTAATAATCATTAGTTTGGGAAAGCTCTTCTTTAAATCCCATCTAATGCTTTTCTCTTACAATCTGAATACAGTTATGCTGACCTGGCCTTTAGTAAGAATAGGAGATAAGTAAGCCACTGTACATTTACACACCAACCACTGATATAAAGATGGTTAAATGATCCTAAGTTATCTGCAATTATGTCTGAAGTTTTGCACCTTGTCGCTTTTTTGCTTATACTGAAAATTAAAGAAGTTCAAAGAAATCATGATGAATTTAATACCAGTAGTAAATTCTACTTAAAATTAAAAGCTCTAAAACTGGAATCATCTAAATATATTATGAAGTAAATGGAAGTTCCATTACTCTACAGGAAAGCTTAGAATTGACTAGGAGATGGCTTTAATTTTTTACTCAGATTTCCTCCACTCATAAGTCTCTAGCCACATCAAGACTTTTATTTCATTTAATAAAAATGGTGATACTGTTTTTACTTTTATTTGTTTATTCGACAGAGAGAGATAGTGAGAGAGGGAACACAAATACAGGGGAGCTGGAAACGGAGGAGCAGGCTCCCCGCCAGGTGATACTGTTTTTAAATAATTTTTGTTAATAACAATAAAATTATATCTATGCAATCAGTGTAGTTCTAAGGGAAAAAAAGAACGTGAAAGTAAGTTTTATCATTATGATTATAAATAACTTCCATGGATAAAAAGTTCAGCATATGTACATTTCAAACCCAGTTCTGACAGATACTTTTGTGAAACATCTATTAAAAAAAAAACAAACAAAAAACTGGACACCTGGGTGGCTCAGCCGGTTGAGTGTCCAACTCTTGATTTCGGCTCAGGTCATGAGCTCAGGGTCCTGGGACTGAGCCCCTGGTTGGGCAAGCGTGGAGCCTGCTTAGGATTCTCTCTCTCCTCCCTCTGCCCCTCCTCCACATGCACACCTCCCACGCACTCGCTCTCAAAAAAACAAAAAACACTTTAGAGGACATTATGTTTTATTGTATGAATGTCAAATGTTTTAAGCACTTATTTACTACATTTTATGTGTTCCATAAAATAAACACTTTTTTAAAGTACGCCAGAATTCACAACAGAAGTAATGCAAAAAATAGACACTTGAAATACACCCAGTAGGACACTGAATCCCGATTTATCACCCAGTCCCTCTGATAAGAAATGCTTCTAGTGTTATGGACAAACTTGATCTTCTTTGAAATGTGTTGTCCACCGCTTTTCTGTTTCCATCACAGTAGCTATAAATAGTTGTCTGAGGATCTCCTTATCTAAATTCCTGCCTGCAAACAGAATAAAATATGGTGTGATTTATATGATGCTTATTAAAATGACAGTTTGCCTATCAATTCCAAATCATTAACAACTTGATAATCTTCAGAAATTTACAAAAACTAAGTAATCAGTGATCCCTTCCCTTAACTTCCTATTTCTAATTAAGTCCCTCAGAACCAAATTGGCATTTTAATTACTTTTCTACATTTGAAGAGGAGTAAAATGCCTAACAAGTTCTTATGAAGGTTATCACATCATGAAGACAAATACATTAACCACAAGCTTAGTTAGGTTGACCAAAGGGGTTGAGATTGGTTAATACTGGTTAAGGAGTATACTGTATCACTTTCAAATATATATATTTTAGAAATTTAACTGTCACTTACCAATAAGAACCAATCGATTTGTTCTCTCGGTGTCATTGTTCCAGCTCAGTGGAGTCTCCTCCAGATCATAGAGCTCGTGGACACCCTGGACAATCACCTGTTTTGGTTTGTCTTTGATTGACACCAGCCCCTGCTCAGATGAGAGGGTTCAATCAGCTGCAGTTCAAATTTAAAGCAGAAACTGACCATCAATGTTTATGGATTAATTATTCCTATTCCATTTTAAATACACACCCATAAAGAAGATGATGTTAAAATTACTTAAATCCAGTTATTTGTGCATTCTAGAAATAGTTTCTAAAGTCTCCAATTTTAAAAAAGGCTTATGTGCACAATGTTTTTTTTTTAAATAATCCCTTTTCCTAACAATAAAATTAATGTATGTATTAAGGATGTCCTTTCAGTGTTATGAGAACTAAAAATTTAAACAACCAAATGATAAAACATGCATCGAATTCTACTGATGTTTCTACTTTAAGGATTTTACACCTGTTTCAGTTTTTTAGTGGGAAAACTTGAGAGGTTAAAGGACTCGGGCGATAATGCTGACTGGGTTGCAGTGAATGGTGCAGGGAATGATGGAATAAAGGAAAGGAAACATTGTCTGGATAAAGTTCATTTTTCACTGATTTGCAGAAATGAGAAACAAGTTATCTGATAAACCTGCCCCTCCCGGGATAAAATAATTTCTCTGAAATAATCCTGTTATACTTGTTATAAAATTAATGCAGAACAGTAAGAGACAAACCATTCATAGTCATTCTTGCTACATAAGCTTTGTGTGTTTTTGGCATATTTGTGTATTTTAGGTGTATGTTCTTCCTGTTTTCCTTTGCCCACTTGTTTTCTGCTTTTTTCCCCCTAGTTTTACTGATAAAATTGACATACAGCATTGTATTAGTTTAAGGTGTACACTATGATTTGATTTCTGCTTTTCAAATTTGAATTTTAATACACAGTAACTCCTTGGAAAGAATTATCTAAACAGCAATTTTTTGTTACTTGTATAAAGACTTTGAAGTGTTAGCTGCTACCTGAGTGAACGTTTTATTTTATTTTATTTAAAAGATTTTATTTATTTATTTGACAGAGACAGAGAGCACGCACAAGCAGGGGGGAGTGGGAGAGGGAGAAGCAGACTCCCCGCTGAGCAGAGTCGGGGGGTGGGGGGGCTCGATCCCAGGACCCTGGGATCATGACCTGAGCCCAAGGCAGACACTTAACTGACTGAGCCCCCGAGGCGCCTCCCTGAGTGAACATTTTAAACATGTTCATCGTTATCACACTAACATTTTGTAGCCAGAAAAGAAAGAAGTCTATGCAGGTGAAGGCTGTGTTGCCCCAGATCTCGAAGTGTCGCTGCGCTCAGAGGAAGGCCAAGAGAAGAACCAAAGAGGACCGACAGCCGCGGAAAACCTGTCCCGTGCCTAAGGACAAAATCCAGGCTGGGCTGGTGCAGGATGCGCCCCGGAGCTCTGGGTGGAGGTCTCGGTGGCAGCATTAGCATACATGCCCCAAGGGCTGCTTTGTAGGGACCACCCCCCATTCAGGAGCAGGGCATAAAAGCAGTAACAGAAAGAAATACACCCTGCCAGTTAGGATCACGGAATGTAGATGGTGCTGCAGTCAGGAAAGCCGCAGCAGGATCACGCTTAGTTCCTCTGGGTGGGAATGACTTGGGAACAGACTGAGACTCACCCATGTTGCTCTGAAGCCAATCGCAGGTAGAGCCGCATGGGGAGTAAAGAAATCTAAACCTGAATGGTTTCTTGATTGTGTGTACCTTTGTCATTCTAGTGACCCCAGGAAGTCAGCTGCTAACTGGAAAATTTAGTTACTAACAGTAATAATACCAAATAGTAATAATAAAAACTTTATGCACACTTCTGGAAACACAGGAGTAGACAAACGACTGCTGATTGGTTAAGCACACAACTAGAACCGCTGCCCCCTGGAAAAAACACCTTCCGTGACATAAATACCCAAATGCCACGTAACATGAATGGGTTTCCAAATACAGAGCAAGAATTCTTCTCTAGTCCTCCGTAACTGTTTATAGTATAACTGTTTAGTGTCTGCTAAATGTGCCAAGCAACACAGGTTTAGCTGCAGCAAGATGTCTAATGTGATTTCTCTGTTAATGAAGCTCCCTTGGAAAATGAAACACAAAAAGATGCCTGGGTGGTCCAGTCGGTTAAGCGTCCGACGCCTGATTTCACTTCAGGGTTGTGAGATGGAGCCCCAACGTGGGGCTCGAGCTGGGCATGGAGCCTACTTAAGATTCTCTGTCTCCGTCTCCCTCTACCCGTCCCCACCATTCCCTTAAAAAAAAAAAAAAAAAAAAAAAAGACATTCATTCAGTTTTCCCTAACTGACCAAGCTGTGTGCCAACGAAAGGAGAGTTCCAGCGAGTCAAGCTCATTAGCCAGGTTAACTGCTCAGAACACTTGGGAAGAGAGAACGAGGGGTGATGTTTCAAAGCACAGAGGTTGCAAATGAAGCTATGCAAATAAATCACGCTTTACGCAGTGATTTCCAAAGCTTCTTTTCAGCAACGGAAATGAGAAAAAAAAAATGAAATCAGACAAAAGTTATTTGTACTAAAACCAGCGCTTGTGTTTAAAACCAAATAAGGTTTTATGTCACAGTCAAGAAAGGAAAGGGCCTTTGTCCCAGAGTACTACAGTGTAGACCCTACTCCGCACCTTTAGCCGTATGACCTCCATGTAGTTGTCATCCTTGTTTCGCACGTTCCGCTCCCACAGAAGATTCTGTATCAAGTGACATATTCAGTAAGACCAACCATCACTGCCAGCAACAACCAAGTAACACAACAGGTGGTAAATCATTATCAAATACTGCATTCACCTGAATAAATACATTCAGACTTTCCTCCTTTGCATTTCCTTGTACTTCAAATGTCACCGTAATAATGCTCTATAAATCAAGACAGATAATCAATCATGATTTTCTTTATAGTAATGGTGTATTTTTAGAACATCGGTATATTTTATAGTAATGTCAGTGTATTTTAAGACAAAAAAAAATACATGAACACGTATGCTGCCTGACAACTATATTGGGTCTATCTTTTTCACTATCTTGCTGAGTTCTGGTAGCAGCAATTCCATTTTCTGTATTCCACAGAGGTGATCAGTGGGTTAGTATTTAAACAGAGAAACTTTCATGAAAGGATACTCATGGTTTAATTCATCCTTTCCAGGACTCTCAGCACTGAGCGGGAAGGTAATATCTACAGTGTACCAACTATGTACCAAGCCAGGTACTCTTAGCCTGGATCACTTCATCTTTTCAGTTACTCGTGACAACAATCCTATGGAATAAAGAGAATTATTTCCCTTTTATAAATAGGGGGTAATAAGGCTCAGAAAAAATAAACTACTCAGAGCCAGAAGTAAAACTCATATGCAGAAGTGTAATTCTGTTCTCTCGGAAAAATATAAAGGAAAAATTCAGTTTATCTCTGACCATGTATGCGCCAAAGGAGAAGAGTATCTGGAGATGAGAATGATAGTATTATGTCCCTCTTGGTTTGAGAAGATTGACATCATTTAGAATGTTAACTCTGAGATTTATTTTTCCTCCTGCTCCTGATAAATCTCTCACTGTCTACTCTAAGAAACCAGAAGCTCAAGATTTCCTGTAGCTGGTCACATAAAAAATCCAAAGCTCCATTTGCTCCTGTCACCAAAATTTCAACTTAATGATGAGAATACACAAGGGCTAAGAGTAAGATGATGAAAACACAAATCCCGCCTTGGATAATTAGGATAAGATGCTCAAGCCAAGCTTTAAAACAGGAAGAAAAAAACATAGTAAAGCATGGCTTTGCATCATTTCCTGCAACTGCATTTATTAACAGCAATTTTATTCACCAATGGAAAAGCACACAGGCTTAGAGCAGAAAATATGAAAAGACCAAATTGTTTTTTATCCAAACACAGAGGATCGCTAACATAAGTACTAAAGACCAATCTAAGGACAAAATATACTGATATTTAGTCTCCACTGTTGCTGATAATGGGAAAAGCAAAAAGCACTTTCTTGCTAAATATGAGACATGAAAGCCAACTAAAATTGACTTTAAAATGTCAGATTTTTAAAAGTACTTATTCTGTCACAATAGCCAAGAGATGAAACAACATAACACTAACAGATGAATGGACAAAGAAAATGTAGTATAATAGTGTAGTATAAAACTGTGGTATGTTGATGGACCATTACTCACTGTTAAAAAAAAGGAAATTCTGCCACATGCCACAACGCAGATGAGCCTTGAGGACATCATGCTAAATGAAATAAGCTGGTCACAGAAGGACAAATACTGCATGATTCCACTTATATGAGGTATCTAAGTGGTCAAACTTACAGAAATAGAAAGCAGAATAGCGGCTGCCTGGCTGGGAGGTGAGGGAAATGGGGAGCTGCGGTTCAATGAATATAGTTTCAGTCATGCAAGATGAAAAAGGTCTAGAGATGTGCTGTACAATAGTACTCAGACAGTATCAGCTAGTGATATTGGACTATACACTTAAAAATGTGTCAAGAGGGTAGATCACATGTGTTTACCATAACTTTTTTAAAGTACTTATTTTTAAATCTAAATAAACACACTTTGAACTATTTATTTTACTGCATTTAAAGTTTTCTTAAAAAAATAAAGTTTTCTTTTCCCCTTAAAGCAATCACTATAAATAATATCTAAGAATCCATATCAAAATGTATAGCAAATCCTATAACATATCAAAATACATAGCAAAAAGGTTGCTAAACGAAACATAATTTGTCATTTTCAAAAGACAGTAGCAATTCAACCTTCAAAACTGCTTAAAATGTATTTTATTCAAGTTGGATAACTTGGCTTTTAATATTGGAAAGGCCTCAACATGGAACTCAAAACTGTTTTATTCTAGCTTAAAGAATTTTTACTGGGAATGACTGTTGTTTTCGGCAGGTTAGGGATATGACAATATTTTTAAGGGGTACAATTAACTCCAATATGAGATAAAAAGGGTTTTAAAAGTTACGACAATGCATCAAGGGGCTCAAGGAGTGAGATAAACATTTTAGAACTAGATGTTTTTCTGTACCAATCAACTCTTTTCGCAGTAGACAATACCTTAAAGATGAAATCCGCAAACTCCCAGTGCAGAGGACAAGGGTCATAACTCATAATTCCTAATTTAATGAACTATGCAGACTGCCATTTGGGTTTTCTCCCCTTCTCACCTTCCAACCCCGGGTCCTCCTTATAGGGAGGTAACAAGGAATCCATGAAAGAGAGCTGCATTACAGATGATTCAGGGATAAAACTTTAATAACATACCTACTATGCCCTACGTATTACCCATGTCAGTATTTTTTTTCCCAGTTTTTGTTTTGAATCTAAAATTAACTCTCCTTTTCCCAGACACAGGAAGAAGCAGAAAACCAAAGCAATCATTCAGAAAATGAAAGTAAAATAAGGTACTGCCCCTAAAATAAAATTTAGGAATAACTCCAAAAGTTTAGTTTTCTGGTCTGTTTTTTTGTCCACCTCCCAGGTTATTCCCCTGGGTGTTCTAGTCTTTGGCAAACAATATCTAATAGCAGTAACTTCTGCGTGTTTTCTTCATCTGGAAAACTGAGCCCATTAACATGCTCAACCCCAAATGTGAAGCTCCTCCCAAGTCATTTCTACTGGACATCCTGCCACCGAGTAAGAACCTGAAAGTCCGGCATTCCTCCGCAAATCAGTGTTTCTTCCAGGTTTCTCTATGCCGAGGTCCCTCCAGTCAATCAGGCGTGTTTCCCATCAGTTCCCCCATCTTACTGCCCCAGCATCGGTCAGTAAGGCTACTCCAGCAAGTCTACCTGTGAATCAGACCTCGATTTATCCCATTTCCATTCCCGCCATGACCCACACAGTCCAGGCCCTTGTCACAGGGTATCCTCCTGCTTGATCTCCTGCCGTCAGCTACAGCCCTGCTCACCTGCCACTGGGGGACAGCACAGCGTGTGTTCTGCTTGCCACTGCACATCAAAGCCCGACACCTTAGCTTAGGATTCAAACACCAAGCGTCCACCAAGATTTCTACACTTACAGTCTTCCTCTTCTAGAGCATTCTCACTTTCCCACTTGTAAACAACTGGGTTGCTCTTTCCCTTACTTCTTCCAGTCAAACAAAAACCTCCTCGTTTAAGGCCACGTTTTGATGTCTTACTCAGAATAGCAGTCGCATCTTTGCAAAGAATGTTGCTAACTGGAGAGAGACGCAAAGGAACTCTCTTAACGATTTTGGAAATCTTCTGTACCTGGATCTAAGAGAGATTTATAGAGATATATGTCTATGTATGCAGATGGACTGATACACAGGCACAAATATATGTAAAGATACATTGACTTGTATGCTAAAAACCTGTATGCTTTACCGTACGTTAAAAAAAAGCATCTTTCATGAAGCCTCAGACCCACTAAACCGAAGGAGACCATCATTCCCCTGAATCCCATAGCCCTTTGTCTGCATTATATTCTGCCTTTTCTTATATACCTAAAGCAGGAAAGTGCATCCGAATCTCCTGTAGAGCCTTAAAAAAAAATAGACATGCCCTATTTACTGGTGAAATGACACACTGTCTGGGATTTCTGTTAATACACTCCAGCAAGGGTAATGGGCACTTGCAGTTTTATTATACTATTCTACTTTTATGTATTTTTGAAATTTTCTCTTGAAAAAATACTCCAGCAAAAGAAATATTGGGAAGACAGAGGAAATAAAATCAGCAAAATGCTGGCAGCCATTGCAACTGGGTTCCTTTTGCTATTCTCTGTACTTTTGTGTATCTTTGCAAATTTCCATAATAAAATGTTAAAAATGTATATACACATTAATTTGCACATACCCAAGCCCCACTCCTGGAGATATGAGGTGGGGGGGGGGGACTACTGAGCATCCAATATTTTTTAGAAAGTTCCACAAGTGACTCTGATGTTCCCCATTTGGGAATCACAGCTTTCATTCTTTTAACAAATATTCACTGAGCAGCCACCACAGACCATGCCCTGTGCAAAGCATTGAGGAATCTACACTTAAGGAGTATACAGACTACTACAAGGAAAAAGCATTTCAACCCAAACTATAAGGCATGATAAATGCCATGAGAGGGGTATGTGCAAGATACCATAGGTATAGATACTGGCCGTTATAAAGGTTCTTGAAAGAGACTACTACATTCTTCATCTTTTACATGACTCCTAGGATGATGGTCCCTCACTTGGAAAGTCAGTAAGAATATGCTTGCGCTTCATCTTTAGGACTACTACTGAGTATTTTAAAAGTTGGTTTTTCCCAAAAACTCTACAGCCAGGGAATTGTATTTCTCTCATTCACTCATTTTAAAAGCATGAAAGATGACTATTTTATGAAGTTTCTGAGAGGAAAGTGCCAGGAACACAGTTGTACAGGTCCCCATAAATACCAGCCAAACTGAAGACAAACAAGTGGCCCCATCACAATGAGTAATGCTTCAAAGAGTGAGTGATGGTTTCCAGACAGAGGAGGGAAGACAGTACATGGCTCACTCATATGCCCCCTTGCTCTCACTCTGTTTCAATGGAACAAAGAAGTTACCCAAAACCTCCACCATCTATGACTTGCTTAAAAGAAAGATGGGTACAGTGAAAACATGTTTTGTTTGTTCCTAGTATCGTCAATATTTACCTCAGGAATTAGAGTTTTAGAGCACCTAAATGAAGGACACCTTAGGGAATTCAAATTTACAGTGCTATCCGCCAAGTGAAACTCAAATCTTCATTTAAATAAGCCATAGATGCTTTTACCAGACTTTCCCTTAATCTAGCAGTTCAACATAGCTAAAAACCGGCTGCGTATAGAACCCCCAGGCTGCTTTTAAGCAGTGATTCCCACCAGAAGAGTGACCTGTTGAATGGAGAAGCTAGAAAGCATGATTTCTTAAGACTCTAAAGTCTGGCTTAATGAATTCCTATTACGCATTAAGAAGCTAGATGAGATTACCTCAAAAGCATCCAAATTCTGAAAATTATCAACACCGTTCAAAAATACTTTTTTTTTAGCAAGACTCAAAACAGTCCTAAAAGAACCAATTTATTTTTTTAAAACCCTTAAAAAAATTTTTTAAAGATGTTTTTTACCTGATCAAGGTGAGGCTGTGTTGTTGGCACATGCTGAAGCTTTTTCTGCAAACTAATAACAACTGATTATAAATTCAGACATCAATATACTTTCAATTTAACCTTATATGTTACTTAGAGATATGGAGCTAAGAAGGGAGTTTCCACAACTCAATCTATTACACAGTTCCAATTTTACATGCTATTTACACATTCTAATACAGAAAAGCTAGCAGACTGTTTAAAGATTTTTCCTAACAATGTGCACACATTCAACAAACAAGCAAACAGACTGGTGGTTGCCAGAGGGGAGGTGGATGGGGGAATGGGTGAAACAGGTGAAGGGGACTAAGAGGTATAAACTTCCAGTTACAAAATAAGTAAGTCATCACGGAACACTACATCAAAAACTAATGATGTACTGTATGGTGACTAACATAATACAATAAATATTTTTTAAAAATAAATAAATAAATAAGTCAAAGATGAAAAGTACAGCACAGGGAATAGAGTCAATAATACTGCAGTAATGTTGTATAGTGGCACTTGGTGACCACACTTATCGAGGTGAGCACTAAGATACAGAATTCTCAACTTAATATGTTGTACTCCTCAAAATAATACAACATTGTATGTTATACTTCAATTAAAAAATGTACATTCACATGCACACATCTACACACAATACAGAAAAAAACCCTAATCTTTAGCGACACTATTTTGTGTGGTTAAATATGTCAGCAGATTTCTCTTTAATTCCAACAGATCTATAACTGACCTAGAAAAATACACGTAAGCATTTTACTACTGCTCCAAATTTCATCAACTTGTCCCATGCTTCCTAATGTGAAAATAAGACTAGTACCTAAAGAAAGTCAGAAGGGTATATTTATTCCTTTATCAATGTATTCCCTTAAACGTATCTATTTATTAAGAAATAAGTAGTATTAAGAAATAAGCCTTCTATATAGTCAGTTGCCAGTGACTGAGAGAAAACAAAAAATCTTAAAAATGTTTTGTTTTGATATGAAAAAGAGCGAGAATATCAAAATGGCACAACCAATTATAACCTTAACTGTAGCATACATTTGGACACTGATGGGGGTAGGCTGGAAGGAGGAAAAAGACTTAAAACCTTGCAGATGTTTTGCTCTGCAGAACAGTGAGGGGTAAATTAGTAACAGGGAGTTTAGAAAAGAGAAAAGGATTGTAGGAACTGTTGGAGGGAAATGAGCCTCACAGGATGGGGTCTTAGTAGAGAAAGTGTCAAATTAAATCCTTCCCAGCTGGTTGCTCAGAAAAGGATTCTCCATTTTTGCAACTGAGCACAGTGAAAAGTTATGCACAGGCCTGAGCCACAGAGAGGGCATCACGTTAAATAGCTACTTCTTTCAGTGTCGCTAATGCATTATCACTGTTCTTAAACAAGTGTGGAATGAAATTACCTTAGAAAATGTTCGAAAAATCACACAATCTTTATGTTCGACATTTAATGTTGTTAAAAATAACTGCCAACAACTTGCATAAGAAGGAAAAAGTTTTCCTCAACCCTCTTTAAGTGCCTGGCTGGGTGTGAAAATTAGATTGACAAACACAGATTAACAGGAGAAAAGGGTACAAGTTTATTAATGTAAGTTTTTTTTTTACCAGATTTATTTATTTTAGAGAGAGAAAGAAAGAGTGTGCAGCGGGGGGGGGGGGCGGGCAGAGGGAGAGGGAACCTAACACAGGGCTCAATCTTGGGACCCTGAGATCAGGACCTGAGCAGAAACCGCAAGTCAGACACTTGACCCACTGAGACAGTCAGACGCCCCTATTAATATAAGTTTTATGTAACATAAGAGCCTTCATAAAGAAATGAAGAACCAAAGAAATGGTTAAACCTGAGCGTTTTTATGCTATGTTTGATGAAGAGTGGAAGGTTGTGGAAAGAAACAATGGGACGGAGTATGAAACAAGTGTAGTAAACTGGAGGATACTCAGAGAGGCCTGTTTCTTGATTCCTCCGTGTGTACCTTAGTCTTCAGAGATAAGGATGCTCCTTTCCTCTGGGCACTGGGAGGGTACCTCTCACACGAGGCTTTTATGACTCAACTACTTTGGAGAAAATGGGAGAAAATATTTCTAAATCACGTATCTGATGAGGGGGTAATACCTAGAATATATAAAAAAAATTCCTCCAGCTCAGCCACAAACAACAACAAACCATGGGATTAAAAAATGGACCGAGTATTTGAATAGACATTTCTCCAAAGATGATCTACAAATAGCCACTGAGCACATGAAAAGCTGGTCATGACCTCGAACCACTGGAGAAATGCAGAGCACAAACACGAGGAGCTGCCACCTCATACCCATGAGGACGGCTACTACCAAAACCAACTAGAAATACTGAGTGTTGGCGAGTCCATGGAGAAAGCAGAACCCTGTGCGCACTGCTGATGGGAAATGAAAATGGTGCAGCTGCTGGGCCGAACAGTAGGGCATGCCTCAAAATAGTAAAAAGAAGTGAAAGCAGGAATCGTGTAGCAGCATTGTTCACACAGCCAAGAGATGGAAGCAATCCAAATGTTCATTAGTGGATGAATGGACAATATGACGGAATATTATTTGGCATTAAAAGGAAAGAAATCCTGTCACAAGCTACAACATGGATGAACCTTGAGGACTAAGTGAAATAAGCCAGTTAAAATAAGACAAATGCCATACATTTTCATTGGTATAAGGTATCTAAAGAAGTCAAATTCTTTTTTTTTCAAGATTTTATTTATTTATTTGAGAGAGAAAGAGAGAGAGGGTGAGCACGAATGGTGGAGAGGGGCAAAGTGGGAGGGAGAAGCAGACTCCCCACCAAGCAGGGAGCCTGACGCAGGACTCAATCCCAGGACTCTGAGATCATGACCTAAGCTGAAGGCAGATGCTTAACCGACTGAGCCACCCAGGAGTCCCCTAAGTAGGCAAATGCTTAAAAACAGGTAATAGAATGGTGGTTGCCAGGGGCTGTGGGGAGGGGAACAGGGAGAGTCATCATTCAACAGAGTTTCAGTTCTGCAAGATGAGAAAGTTCTATAGATCTATTGCACAACAATGTGAATATACTTAATGCTACTGAACTGTAAACTTAAAAACGGTTAAGATGATTTAAAAAAAAATGAGACTGAAGAAAGATACATTCTTCTCCCTTATCAAAAAGATTCCCGGGCGCCTGGGTGGCTCAGTCGTTAAGCGTCTGCCTTCAGCTCAGGTCATGGTCTCAGGGTCCTGGGATCGAGTCCCACATCGGGCTCCCTGCTCCGCGGGAGGCCTGCTTCTCCCTCTCCCACTCCCCCTGCTTGTGTTCCTGCTCTCACTGTCTCTGTCAAATAAATAAATACAATCTTTAAAAAAAAAAAAAAAAAAAAGATTCCCTCCAGGGAAAGAACCAGGAGAGTGATCCATCACTGAGGAGAAAGGAGGAGTGTGTAGGAATACCCCAAGCTAAAGTTTTTTATGTATTTCATCCATTTTTCTCATAGAAAGAAAGTATTACACACAGTGGTTGGTGCAGAAGTATTAACGATGAATCCCTAAAGTTAACTACCATTTATACTAAAATTTCTATAGGAAAATGCACTGTGATTTCCAAACATCCAATTAATAAAACTTTCAAGAACAATATCATTAGGAATGATCTTGTACACCAAAGGAATGACAAGAAGCTTAAATCAAGGGTGCAACTGTATAAATCATTCCTGTAACTTCTACAACTGTGGAATAAGAAGTATATTACAATAAAAGTCAACAAAATACAGAAAACATACCTTACTCCAGAAAGACTGTCAAAGGCATGAAGATCTAATACATTAGCGAGATGAACTCTAAAAGGAAGAAATCCAGTGTAAACTATGGGAAATTCTGTGAAATATATTCAATTAATCAAAGAAAAAAAAATCTCTAAGACTCTTTTGCCAAAAACGTAGACATAAAGTTTAATCAATATATCATACTATTTTGGGAAACACATAAAAATGACAAGCAAAGAAGAAAAAGCTTGTTGTAAAATTTTTTAATAGAATTTCTTCATAAAATTAAAAAAACAGTGACTAGTTTAAGTTCAAGGCAGAAAATTACTTGATTATTGCTTCAATAAACTATATATATTTTTATTTATACTTTCAATTGTCTTTTCAATCCTGGGAATTTATGAGCTTGATTTCAAATACATTTTACAGACAAAAAAAAAAACCCTCAGTTATAGAACTGGAACTTTTCAAAGCAGCAGTTTATTACTCAAAAGATGAAATGTGGGACGTGAAGCGAAGGCACTGCCTCAGTACAGTACGTTCCCTTCAGGACGTCTGGATTTCATTTACTTCACTCCCCGCCTTCCCCGATATAACAGGTAGTATTTTAAGAATACAAGGAATCAAACAACTATTCTAAGACCCTAAACTACATCCAAAGAGTGGTTTATTTCCTTCAGACCAGGGTTGCATAGACTGAAACACCCCAGTTAGCACTCTACCTGAATAAACATTATTTCCATGGGAATTATTTAGAGGCAATTGTGGCTTATCAGGAAAGCAGTGTTTCAAACCAGCAGAGAATATCATATCACAGACAGCATTCATTTTGGTTTAAATACATATACAAAGACTAGTGAATGAATTCCAATGTTTACGTGAGCCTGTAAAACAGTAGAGGACAGTGATTTCTCTATAATCAAAGCTATGATGAAGGAATGTTTCAGGAAAACGACAACATAATGAATTTCAAAATTAGAATCCGGGAATTTGCCAAACATGTAAGTTCTCTTACAAGGAAAACAAAACAGTCAAATTCAAGATTTTTTAAAATATGCCAACATGTAAACCAAACCACCTCTTCTAACTTAGGAGTGACGTGCACTGCCTGCTTTGCTGATTCTCAACAGTCTGCCAAATATTCATGCCTGTGGCAACAATACTGTTTGATCAGGAGTACTTATCCCGGCACAAGGCAGACAAATTCCCATCTTACTAAAAGAGTAATACTCCAAAGTTACATGCACATAAACTATAACAACACTGGAAATTCTGGACATTCTAGATGAAAAGAATCAGGAAAATCATCAAAGAAGTAAATATTCCATAAAGAAATTTGTAAATATCATCTTACATAAGAGATCAAAGCCTTAACATTAAACACATGTCCATTTTCACCATGACAGTTGAGTAAATATTTGTACTAATATGTGACAAATGAATGAACTTCTCCCCCAAGTTTATCATCTTTACCTTAGGAAACAGCTAGTTTAAAAAGTACACCTGCCAACTGTCTGAATATCAAAACTCAGGCCAACTGTATGAATACCAAAAGTCAGTTTGGAAACATAAGTTTCTAAAGTAAACAGTTTCATTCTGACACTGTTCTTAAGAATCCATGTCACACATTTAGAAATAATTCTGCTTGATACGCAGAATCTTTTGATATTTCCAAAACACACAGGATCAACACTAGATCTGTACAGGTTAAAATCTACAGAGAATAGAGTCCCCACTGAGGCTGCCTCAATCCAGCCTCTGCCCTTGCTCCTGCGGCAGAGCTGGTAGTCCTGGGGGTGCTGAGGTGCATGCCTCTCTTTTCTGTACATGTGCGGAAGGGAATGGAATAGGATTGGGGGAGCTCTGGTCTCCCACCTGGACCAGACTGGGGCTCTCCGCTACGGGGACCATTGAGGGGTGGGGACGCACTACAGCAGTGTTGGAGGGGAGGGGGCAAAAAAAAAAAAATCTACAGTGAATAAAATAATACCAGTCTCTCACTGTATCTCACCAGATTCTCAATGGACAGTAAAACAGGAAAAGTCTAAGGTTCCAGATTAGAGTTACCATGGACCTGCCCCAAATCTAGTAACCCCACAGAAAATAAATTCCTTTACTCATCCAATTAGAAAACTAATTTCCACGGCACAAAATATACTTAATTTCCTCCTTTAGAGATAATAGCATCAGATATTTTCAAAACAGTAATACAAAAAAATAAAAATAAAAAGACTACCACCATTAATTTTTACGTGGTGGGGAGGGGAGTTCAGCGGCTACCCCGGGGTTAGTGTCTACTAGTCATCTTTCCAAAGTTCAATCAGTCTCCTAAACAGGAGCCACCAGCTAATCCCAGATCTACGAACTGTCAAACCCATCCAATGGCTAAGTCCTGAACTCTAGAACCAGATTTCTGAAGGCCTTCCCCAGTGGCACCTCAAACTTAGTGTACAAAACTCAACTAATCACCTTTTACCAAATCCCTGCTATCACTACCTCACCCGCAAGTTGCTCCCCATTCTGGTACTTCCTTCCATGGAGAACTGCACCCATATTCAATCCTCCCAGGACTCATACTGCTTTTAAAACCTTTCACGACTCCTTGCTGCCCACAGAAAAAAAATCCAAAGTATATGTCATTGCATTCAAGATCCTCTGTGGAAAGTTCTCCATCTCTTCAGTCACACCTCTTTTTCTCTCTGCCACACACCATGTGCTCTAGCTGTTCTAAAATACTCACAGGTCCCTGGAGTACAAAATCTTCCTATGCCTAAAAAGCCATTCTACTCTTGTTCATCTGAAAAAATCCTATTCATTCTTCAAGAGGTCGATAATCACATCCTCAGTCAAAATTTCCTGAATTTTCATCAAGAAGAGCTGAGTAGTTGTTCCTCTATGTTCCTGTTCTTATAGGACCCTACATAATTAATACTCCTGTTATACTGATAATATTTAATATATTGGGTTTTGTTTGTTTACTTCTGTCTCCCCCAAATGACTCATCACCTACTACAAAGGCAGAGTTTTTGCCTTATCCATTGCTTAAATCCTCAAAAAGCCAAGAAATGCCTAGCAACTAATAGAATGCCCAATAGTTTGTTGAACTGATTAACTTATTACTGAACAACTGGATTTTGGTTTTCTTCTGTTCGGTCCTCTGAAATCTGCAAGATTAAAAAGGAGTCAGGAAGAAATAAGAATGGCTCTTCTGATCTTCCACCCCTACTTCTGAAGTCTACGTGGCCCATTAGAACTTCCATTTGCTTCAAAGTCAACTTAAGTCTTACCAATAAGACAATGTTACACCTGATTCTTATTCCTCAACTTCAATACTCAAGGTAAGCCTTTTCTACATATGCTTACAGCAGTCTTATTATTGTCAGTTTTACTACTATCAGCGTTTGTCAACCACAAAATGCTTGAGGCATTAAAATTTAAAAACAAAAAAACAAACACAATAAAACAAAACTTCCATCAGTGATTTCCACCATTTTGTTAAAAACCAGATCTCTTGTTTCTAAACTGGGAAGGCTCAAGTTGCTGTGCCTCAAGGAATTGGGGGAAATATTTAATGTAAGATTCATGACCATGGTAAGAATTCTACCATGGAGGTCTGATCTTCATTGAAAAAGATCCTAATCCAACTTCAGTCCTCACAGCAAGGAAGTACTATTTCAGAAAGTCCCTAGATTCTCAGATACAATGGCAAACACAAGACACTGAAGAAACAAGGAAAAAAATTTTAAAAAAAGGAGATTTTATTCATTTGCTCATTCATCCATTTGAAGCAACTAAATTTAATCACTATATGTTTACTGTTCTATAAACATAACAGAACTGTTAGAAATGTCATAGAACCATCAAAATTGTTACACAATAATCTCTTCAAGATAAAACCTTTACACGGCACGTAAAGGTTTAAAATGAAAACATAAAGAAAAATTAAGCAAAGTAAATCCAGGAGCCTGTAAAAACTGATCTGAGATGTTTGTAAATATGAACCAAATAAATGCTATTACAACGGAACCATAGCTATTGATGGATATGGTTTCTAAAATCTTATTTCAGCTTTCTGTGGTCGTCTGTGTATCACTTTGTAATGAAGAGAAAATTTAGGGAGAAAGAAAATGGTAAAATGCAAGAGAAAGAAGACTAATAACTGAGGAATGGCTCTGGTATGAGTTAGGCGATCAAAGGTTTTCTACACTGGAATCTGAAATGCAGGGAGCACATTCGGCGTTTACTTGCGGAAGACTTACGCTAAGGGCATCCTTCTGCCACCTCCGCCCGCAGATGAGTGGCTTTTGAGAATGCACACCAACTTAATTCCCCAGCTGTCCGCACGCACACAAGCAGCTGTCCCCGCTCATGCCTACTGCCCAGGGCAGTCTGTCAGCACCTCTAACCTCTGCTGCGCAGATGAGCCTCTGAGCAAAGTCCGCTGCTGCACTTCCAAGGAAAGAATCTCTGAATTAAGAACTGCGTTGGCACTGGACTGCCAGCCCTGAGACCCACAGCTGCTGGCTGCATGTTGCTGGGTCTCTCAGCTGCTGAACCATTCATTCTTGCTAAAAAATGAGCTTAACGATATATCCCTGTAAGAATTTTCTGAAATCATAATAGCATTCATTGGAAAACAGAATTCAATCCAAAGAAATACAATTCACAGATGTTTCAAGAATACGTCTATTTTAGAAAGTACTGTACATCTGTATGAACAGAATAAAAAGACAGAAGAACCTACAGGAAATGGACATAAAGATAAACTTAAAGATAAAGCTTCCTCTATTTTTACATGACAGATTATTTGCAGCTATACAAAAAACTTAGAAGTTTTTAGAAAATATTAGAATGCCATTTAAGTACCTCAAGCTAAGATGATTCCTAATAACATACTTTTAGGGATTTCTATACTAGTTACTTTTCTGAGTGGATGAAAAGTCCTATGTTTTCTTCCTCATGAAACAAAAGCACAGCCACCCAGCCTTACCATGGCTCTGTAGTCTTGCTACAACAAGAAGCAAACTATTAACCAAATATGCCAAACTAATTTATAAAGAACATTCAAAACATTTTGGGGCCCCATTTTTTAAAAAGGCACATGTATCTTTGTTATAAAAGAATCAGGCATATTTATCAATTACTTAATAATTATTATTAACTAAAATTATTTACTGTCAATATTAGTAACGGCTTTTAAAAGTACCTTGATCTTTGTGTTTCTAAAATTTTTCCCAGTCCATTTATGGATCTGAAATAAACATAAAAATAAAGAAGAAAGGGTAAAAAGGTAAATGTTAAACTTTTTAAAGATCATAAAGCATATTATTTCTAAAACAGGAAATAAGCATATACAAATATATCTGGAGAAAAAAACCAGAAAAACAAAACTTACATTTTTTTATAGCTTATTATTTTTTTTCTAATCATAAATCAGGTATATTCCACTTAGGTATTAAAACATGACAGGCAAAAATCTACTGCACAACTGACTAACTGGGGGATACTTTGTGAATTATAAAGAGACCCTTCACGTTAGAAAAAATGATTCATAGCCAGTAATTCTAATGTTCTCAAAGTGAGTAGATAAATCAAGATTTTTACTGATACTCAATTTTCCACAAGCACACATCGTGGAAATGCCTATACACAGGCTAGAAATAAAAACCTAAAAAGTTGTGAGTGGCTTTGACCCAGCCCGTCCTCGTTTTCACAGTAACAGGAAGTCAGGTATCCAGGTTCTTCCACAAAATAACCTCTTCGTTCCCTAACTAGAATCTCTACCCGTTCTGCCAGTCCTTCCCTTTCTGATATTACTGAGATAATGAAACAGGACTCCCTCACCAAAAATACTTGTTAAATTCTTTTCAACATACCAAACACCTCATCTATTTATCTTTATACCATCAATTCCATTGCCTTCAGTGTTACTTGCTGAATGTATGTGCCTTTTGTTCAAGCTTATTCTCATGGGTAAGGTTTCCCATCTACAATGATTCTAAGGCAAGTCTCTCTACCATTTCACAAAGTTCTTAATCTTTTCTACTTGAATATACTGTATAACCTGATGGCCACTTCCTCTCAGATATGTTCACCTTCTTCCAACTCCCCAAATCTAATGCCCAGTTGCAAGGCTGATGTACAATGGAGGGTCAAAATCCAAAGGGTCTGTAATTTATCAAAGCACTGTGTCCAAATTCTTTCCTGGTATTGCTGTACAGAGCAGGCTGGCAAACAAAATTTAGGAGACCAGAGTCAAAAGGGGCAAGAGAAGGAATCTCCATTCACTGCTTTCATCTTTCTAGATTTTTCCAAAAATATCAACCATTTTTCTATTTCCTTCATTTTTACTCATTGTGGCTTGAAATTACTATGTAAACCAGGAAAAAAAGTTACACTCTATTAATGATAATAGTAGCTAACAGAGCACTTACTATGTGTCAGGCACTGTGCATAGTTTACCAACAATGTCTCATGAACACTTAAACCAAACTTAATGAAGTAGGTATTCTTTCCTGTTTTAGAGATGAGAATTAAAAAGAACACAGCAAGAAACAGACCAAGGAGTAGAACCCAACCAACCAGATTCTAAAGTCCATCCTCTTAAACACTATGCAGCACTACCTGCACTACACATGGAGATATTATTACAGTTTTTTATAGTAAAGACTCAAAGGATATTAACATTAAAATAATGTGCAGAAAATGTGCAGAAAAATATGGATTTCTTTCCTCTTCAATTATTCATCACTGCAACCAATCTTCTCATGAGCCTTGCCTTTATTGATTCAATTTATAACATACTATATGAACTGGTACTGACAGAATCAAAATCTGATGCCAGCAGATTATACCCATTAAAGATGACTAATAATAAAAACTATTGGATGTCTCTTTGTAGATGGCATTTATTAACTGCCTTAAAAAATAATTCAAAGTCCCTGAACTCTAATCTCATTTGAAAAGTCCAAATGACTGTGGATCATTTAGCATATATTTGAGTACCATTCATACTGTCCTATGCTGACCAACCCTGGCCATGGACACTGAAGACATTAAAGCAAGCTGGGAGACAGGCACGTTTAGTTGACAGTCAAGGAAGACAAAGTCAGTGAGGGTTCAGGGCAAGGAGACCACCTGAGACAGGGGAGATTTCACAGAGAGCGAGGGAGAAAAGGAAGTGACGGGACAACTCTACAGAATGGATGAAATCGCTTAAAAAAAAAAAGGAAGCAAAGAAAAACAGAGACAATGAAGGAATTCAAGGACTGGCAGAGTGAGTGAGAACATGCAGAGTAAAGAAAGGATACGGCAAGACACATCCATGGGAAAGTAAATCGTCCTGAGTAAAGTGAGAGAACTTCCTGCAGGCCAAGAGTCAAAGAGAGACAGGAAAAGGAGGCTGGAGCCAGAAGACCCTGAGTATCAGTCTATGAATTCTAACTGCATTCTCTAAAAAATGGGGAATGACTTTATATATTTATTTTTACATAACAGTCAATTAGGCATCAACAATAAATGACTCCAGAATGGTACTTGAAGTAGGTCAACCTTGAACCTTAAGTTTCTACAGGGTAATACAGGAAAAATCTTTTACATAGTACACTTTGGATTTGTAGGTAGTTAACACTTAAAACTTCATACCTAATGGCTGTTCTTAATTTGCTTAAATCCTCTTCTGAAACCAAGTCTGTTTTATTAATGATGATGATATCTGCCAAAGCAACTTGCCTAAATTAGCAAAGAAAGAACAGATGTCAAAAGAGAAATGTTAAGAAATTAAAAATAGAAACATCTCCTTCAGATCAAATAGCATTAAGAACTATATAGTACTCTGTATGGTAATTGATTTTACTCCTATTTATCATTCTTCAAACAGTAAGAATAAACTGCATCCATTACTATATAAATTCAGATTTCATATGTATTCATTCAAAAAATATTTACTAAGTGCTCTCACTTGCTACTCTCAAACTACAAAGATAAACCCCCAAAAGTTTACAATCAAGGATCATTTTCAACTCAAAATTTTCTTTGTAAAGAAATGCATAAAATTCAGATATTAAATATGGTAAAAATATGGACAGTCTACTGACTAAAATATTCCATGTTATCACATGGAATTTTCAAAGAAATAAAACAAATTAACATTAACACTAAACAGTTTTTTTTTTAAAACCACACTTCAGAAGATACATCAGGATCCTGAACAAATATCTTCTTCATCACTATAAATGTTTTTCTCTGTAAAAGAGATACACAGACATTCAAGTTAAAGAATGTTATTCTGTCCCATTGACAGAATGCTAGATAACAAAATAGCTTACTATAAATAGAAGTTCTATTTTCTTTTTTTTTTAAGGATTTTATTTATTTATTTGAGAGAGAGAGAATGAGAGATAGAGAGCACGAGAGGGAAGAGGGTCAGAGGGAGAAGCAGACTCCCCGCTGAGCAGGGAGCCCGATGTGGGACTCGATCCCAGAACTCCAGGATCATGACCTGAGCCAAAGGCAGTCGCTTAACCAATTGAGCCACCCAGGTACCCGAAGTTCTATTTTCTATTAATAGGAGTAGTAGAGCTGAGGATTCTTTAAATTTTCCTCAATTCTTCAGGAAATTTTAATCACTAGGCTATTTATTCCTAATTCCAGTTTTATGCTACCTGAAGATATAGCCAATTAGGTCAAATGACATGGCCAAATTCTCAAAAATAAATTAACTTTAATTTATTGAAAAAGCAAGTTTCAACAGTATGTACATCATAATCCCATTTCTGTTTAAGTAAGTGTTCTATGAATAAAGATTAAATGTGGATGGGGCACCTGGGTGGCTCAGTTGATTAAGCGACTGCCTTCAGCTCGGGTCATGAGCCCCCAAGCCCCGCATCGGGCTCCCTGCTCGGCGGGAAGCCTGCTTCTCCCTCTCCCACTCCCCCTGCTTGTGTTCCCTCTCTCGCTGTGTCTCTCTCTGTCAAATAAATAAATAAATAAAATCTTAAAAAAAAAAAAAGATTTAATGTGGACACCTCAAAATATAAAGTCACTATCTTTAAATTGGAGGCCTTTTACATTTAACTTTATTTATTTAAGATTTATTTATCTGAGAGAGAGAGAGAGTGAGTGGGGGAAAGGGCAGAGGGACAGGGTGAGAGAGAGAAGCAGACTCCCTCCTGAGCGAGGAGCCTGACACGGGGCTGGATCTCACAGCCAGAGAACATGACCTGAGCCGAAATCAAGTCACTTAACCAAACGAGCCACCCAGGTGCCCCATCTTTATTGTGGCTTTTATGACACTTCACTTATTTTCTAATTTGGCTTCTTTATATTTTCTATAATAAATATATTTTTAATAAGGAAAACAATTATAAAAATGTTTAAGTTCAGTCTAATCTGAATCATACCTATATACCCAATGCAGTGTTCAGGCAGGATTACAGCACCACAGAGCACTATAGTCCAAAATGAGAGGGAGCCAACTGCTTGTTTGTAGTCTATTATTTATGTCTGGATCACACTTAGCAAATCACAGGGAGACTCCCCCTTAACCCCAGCAGCAGACCTAGCAACCATGGTATATCCCAAAGCCTTTTTCCCCCATCAGCAAGAATATGCTTAGGGTAGGCAAACTGATTTAAATATTTGTAAGTCTAAAGACAGCCCAATTAGGAACATAAAGGTATTTAAGCAAAAAAATGTTCTAAATGCCAATTAAAACTATTTCTGTATTTATTTTGTTCTGAGTAACAGTGAATACGTGAATCAAATGAATTACTGTTGAAGAAGGCAGTAAGTGAACCAACTCTTTTCTTTATAACCCTCTTGAATCCCAATGACATCATAAAAGAACAAAAACCCAGTTTTAAATGTTCACTGCTCCCAAGCACCTTTCAAAGAACTGCTGTGCCCAACACTCATTTTATGCTACATATAAAAGTTTTAAATAAAATTTTAGTTATCAGACCATTATAAGTAGCAGTAATTCAATTACAGGGGATAAAGACAACAAATTTTCCTTGACTATGTTTTTATATTTCTCACTTTGGTTTTGGTTTTCGTAATAATTGTCTCTTTTCAATTAGCCAGTAATCAATATATACTTTAAATATGAATACCTAGAAGCTTCATTGATAAGGCCATCCGGTTTTTCTTCTTCCAAATGCTAAACAAAAACAAAGTTTGAAAAAAGTTACTGTGGGAAAACACAAACACTAATGTCAACACAAAGAATTTTACTTTGGAGACTCCTTTCTTGCTTCTAATATACATTTCAACAAGTTCTATTACTGAACACACAAATGCAGAACTAATTTTTCTAACTGAAAGCATTTTATTCCCCATTTGTAATTGTTTTCCTACAGTGACTCTATTGGGGGTGTTTGGGGGAGGGGGCAGGACTTAAATACTGTCCCCCTGACACCTCCTTTTCCTTAAAAGGAAAACCCTCCAGATTTAAATAATGTCAATAAAAACAAAGAGCATTACAGTTCAAATTATAGGCCTTTTCCTTTTTCACAAAACTGTTTTTGTTCTAAATATTCATTATTACTTATATATAAAAGAGATAACGACCAAAATAGACTTTCTTAAATCTAATACACTTCCATCCATTCCGGTCCCAGACCCCACTTCCCACCCCAGCATCACACACAATATGGACTCAGTGCTGAGCCCTTTCTATTCCTGAAACAAGCTGTGGGAAGGCCACAGCCCCAATTCTAGCCTAAAAGCAGCTGACCATTTAGAGAAACAGACACCTGAGTGACCTGGCCCCTCAGTGCAACTGTTTACTTTGCTGACCTCTCCAGAGTCAAGCTAGCTCCAAAAAAATATTGTGACACTGACATAGGGGCCCACAAGGTAGCTGTCATCTCTCTGGAAGTGGTTATTATTTTTCCATAATTCTATTTAAATCCCTAAAGGCATCAATGCCAAAAGGTTCGTCTCTGCAAAACATTCCACCTTCATTACTTTAACCTTTAATAGACGCTCCGTCACAAGAAAAAGCTGCCTACTGAGGTTAGAGGCAATTTGATTATATTGATATTTTTTGTATTTGAAATCAAACTTCACAAATTCTTAAATCATTTTACATACATTATCTCATTTAGCCTTTCTAAGAATTAGAAGAAATGGCTATTCTCATTTTATAAAGGAAGAAACTAAATTTAATACTGTCACTGTCACAGGATACTCTTTTATAGGGTTATTTTTCAAAAATTGAAAACATGTGCTATAGAAGTAAAATGATAATTTTAAAAACTTATGAATGAAAGCTTTTTATGTCACATAAAATCAATCTTCGATACAGATGTTACATAAATATTAACAATCACGTAAGACTATACTCATAGAGAGTACCTAAAAGTTACATTCAAAATTACTATATTATTATTATTAGTGTATCAAAAACTGTTCCTTGCCAAAAGACAAAGTTTACTATTTTTCCTAATTATTCTTGGCCTGAGGCTACTGCAAACCCTATTATTACGTCCTGTAGAGAATAAGGCTGTTACCATCCTGGAAATAGTACCTGGCACCAGGCTCAAAAAATATTTATTGAATGAATTCTAGTTAACACCCCTATTTGTTGACAAAGATAAGTAGATGTTGTTATTTGAAATATTCTATAGAATGTGCAGCAACAAATCCCCTTCTATTCAGCAGTATACCTATCTAATAAAGATGTATTTTTAGCAAGGTACCTGTTTCTGAAAGATCCTGGAATATTCCAGGATTTGAAAATTTGAAATATTTTTCAAAATATTGTATTGTTGACCTTTTGGAAGCTTTATTTACACATGAATTTGGGGCTATGTGGCTGTGAGTTGGTGGGGTATAAAAAAAGATATGGCAGGAAAATTAGATATTTTATTTTTGAATTTCCATACCTTTCCATAAATGGAACAGTAGTTTTACAAAGTAACCCATGTTTTTAACACATTTACTTCTCCAGAAGATTAGAAATCTACACTCAAAGCTAAGTGGGAAAAACCAACATTTTACTACCTTCAGGCAATCAAGAAGTACCAAATATAAAAACATGTTAAAATCCCCAAAATAAAAACAGGCCAATATGTACAATTCTATTATGGATAAGGCATGTAATAATCACATAAAATTACAGAAAAAGATAAAAGCCCTGTTCTATGCATTTTTGAAGGCCATATAAACATAAAGAAATAATAAATGCACACTAACATTTATTTTCTCTGGGTATCAGCCCAATATTTATTTTCCTTATGCAACTTCCTTCCTCCCCAAGTCAAACTTTGCAAAAAGTCTAAAACCAGTGTCTTTTATTCAAAGGGACATTCTCCAATATTGGTTACTCTGTCGGATAAATTCCATTTATAAAGTTAAAAAAAATGGAAATTTTGATATTCTATGCTACCTGCACAGGCAAGGAAGGAAAACATCTGCAAATTTTTTTTCAAAAATTTTAGAGTGTGTGTGTGTGTGTGTGTGTGTGTGTGTGTGTGTGTGTGAATGTATACATATGCCCAAAGGATTCCTCACCTCTGCTGAGAGACTATGGCTTTTGCTTATATATTAAAAAAGACAAAAATGGTTTTGGTACTAATTAACCCGACACTTCCCAAAAGTCAAGGTTCAACCTCCAACTCAGCACACAGTAAGAAAGAAAGAAACCCTTTGAAATAACACCACTGTAGACCCGACTTCAATAAGGGCTAGCGGGTGTCCTCTTCTGCAGAAACAGAAACAAGCCGGACCAAAAAGAAGAGAGCAAGATAGGGGAAAACACTGGTGTTGACCAAAATGGAAGAAATCTAGTGTCAAAGATGTCAGACAACATTTAAAAAAAGCAGCAGCTCTCTCCTCTCAACGGACTGGTTATAGATCTGATGCTATTTCAGCTCTTAGAAAACGATTATTGCATAATGTCAGTCTATTTATTTTTCCAGTCTTTTCCAAGCCAAACTGTTTTCTGACTGAATTGTTTCAACAGCTAGCGCAATATAACAGAAGAGCCAAAAAGAAACCTCTCACTTGACCTTTCCTGTGTAACTTCATCCATTGATTCTATTGCATTAAATGCTGTCACATTTGTAGAACTGAAAAGAACAATGTTGGTAGCCTGGGTGTCAAGTCCTGAGAATAGAGAGCTGTCATTTGAAGTTGTCCAATTCTTTGCCCGTGATTAAAAAATGAATATTTCAGATCAATGGGTGACAATCCCATTAGAGTGATAGCCCATGATATCAATTACCACTTCAGTTTCAATTTGGCTCCCTGGCCACAGGGTACCATTTCTCAGCTTTACTTGTGATGGGCTGGCTCTTTGAAGCATGACACCCTTAAATTGCTGCCCATTATCCAAGTGTCATTACTTGTACTGCCTCAGAATTCTCTGAATCACAAGCAGCTACTGGGGTCAAGCTTTGCAACCAGAGAAATTGGACAAGTGAGCAAATTCTTTATACAAAGGAAAAGTTATTTATCTGGCATCTGACTTAAAAAATCTAAAGTTTCCATTATCCTGACAGTATGTCAGTTTTGTGTAGGTATATTGATTTAATAATTTAAGAGGTTTTATCAAGGTGGCAGGAGGTTAAACGTTTACTGTGTTTGCATTATTCAGAATGTTGCTTTGTTTATTTGGCCTCAATTACACTGATAATAGATTCTATTTAACTCCTCTGCAAATCTAAATATACATATAAAATTATTCCTGTAATCATAAATACATGAAGAGTTTAACTCTGGGTATGATACCTTAAGTCTATCAAGAAGACAAATAAAATATCTTAACTGCTATCTCTTCTGTAGGTATCCCAAATTTGGTATTAAATGCATGTAAGAGATGAATTCAGACATGCCTATAATAAACATCCAGAATGAAGAATTTTATTTATTTTGCTTCCTCCATAAATATTTTGTTAGAAATATCATGATTTCAGAAGAGTCGGAATTTTTCTGAGTAAAATTGTAATATCCGTAATCTTTCTTTGATTCTTAAGATGACTAATAAATTTGGACTCAAAATCTACAGAGAAATTATTTTCCAAATATCTCAAATTAGGCAGCTCTATTCCTGAGGGAGACAAAGGGCCAGTGAAGGGATAGTGGTAACCACTTAACAAGCATGCTCCACCAACTGAACTAGCCAGGTGTCCCGGAAGGAACACTTTCAAATTAACAAATCAGATATATGTCGAGTAGAATACAAAATGGACGTGCATTTTTATTTAAACTTCTAAGAAATGATTACTTAGGGGGCTATCCACATCCCAGAGTGGGACCAGGAGATGGAGGATAATTTCATTCTCTTTTCCCTTTAGTAGTATTTCACTTGGAAAGTTGAAAAATATTGTTTTATTTTATGCAACAACATGTTTTTAAAAATCTTACTAAGTGCATTTTATGAATTGAAGTCCATTTAAATGTATTTGAAGAACTTGGTAGTTATGAAAACATTCACAGGAGGATACCTTTTAAAGGAGAGTTTCTCCTCACTGCACCTATGTATAAACCCTGATTTCTTCAAAGTAAGGTAAAGCAATTATTTTTTAATGCAATTATTTCCAGTTTGTGTCTGGTAGCAGTTTAACAAGAGAAAAAAGTTCTCATATGCTTTCTCAAGCTCAATTTCTTCTATCAAATAGAAAAACTCATCAACAATGGGGTTGAGTCCCAGTAAGGAGTTACACATACACAAACTTTATCCTGTAATATCATCATTACAAAGTATTACACTTCCAACTTCTATCATATCAAGCCAGAGTAACAGAAAATACTTAATTTTAAAACACAATAATTAAAAGACACACAAATTTCATCTATTGTTCACAATAGTTAAAAAAAAAACTTTTTGTTAAAATATTCAAACAAAACTGTAGGAAAAAAATAATATAATCAATCCCCATAAACCCAGCTTTTAACAAATAATTAGCAACTCACAGCAATCTTTCAACTTACTTTTAGTCCATATTTTGAATCCACAACAGTTATGATACCTACAAAGGAATATATCTTTTAATCACCTCTATGCTTGAGAATGAAAATCACAGCTAACCTATATCAGTTCATAAATGTTACTCAATAAAATATTGGTTTTTCTCTTGCCAAAGCTGCAATTTAATTCAATTCCATGAACAAGTAGGCACATTTCAAATGTGTACTGAGTGCCTAGTACCATTTTAAGGCATTAGGGAGGTTATAAAATAATTTTTTAAATCAAATAAACAAAGAAGTAAATAAGAAAATAAGATATTTCTGGCCTTTAAAAAGCTTTAAATCCAAAACATGATGAGACAAATTCCATAATATAAACTGGAATGTGATAAATTACACAAGACAGGTTATTTCCAGTTTATATATTCACATTATCAAAATCAAGACTTCTCTTAACATTTAAATTACTGCTTAACAAATCTAAGATGCCTTAAGATATCTTATTCCTAATAATTTGCACCAAATCTAACTCATACAAGTATTTTCCATAACATGTACCTAAGTTTCCAAATGGTCAATTAGTTTGGCAATCTCTGAATTTTATGCCAAATAATTTTTTCAAATGGTAACAGCAGAATGAGTCTGATGATGCCTAGGGAATTCAACCAGCTCCATGCTGCATATACTAGAGCCAAATGACTGGGCACAGTCTTAAATTTCACTCCTGAGTCTGTGGAAGACCTGGTTTAAAGAAAGGTAAAGGGTGGGCGGGGCATAGTTACTTCATTCAGAAAGTTTCTATATGTCCTACACGAAGTCTATGAATACAATTGCCCAAAAGTGTTAAGGCAAAAAAAGTAAGGGGTGGGGGTTTTGCTTAATTCTTATCTTCAGAGGAAAATGAAAGCAGAAATATGATCCTCATACTGTATATTTTAAATAAAATAAAAAACTCTCTAACATAGTAAGTACATAAACAGAGGATATAAGAAACTGACATAGCACTTTAAAAGGAAAACCTTAGTGGAAGCACTAAATTGAGAGCTGACATTAAGATCTGACATCTAGTTCTACCACTCTCTGGGGCTTTGGAATCTTACTTCATCATCAAACTAAACAAGTTTAAAAAGATTAAAATTATAATGTGAGCAGAAAAAAAACTTAACCATAACATTTTACTTGAAAACAAAAGAATATTTGCTTTTTAACTTACCATCAAGATAAATATCAACCCCTAATTCAGCATCAACCCAAAACATAGAAGCTACAGCACCTGAAAAATATGTAAAATATTCATCAAATAAAAATATTTATTCAAACTGAGAAACACTATTCTACCCAGGCTGTTTTAATGTGTCCTAAAAGAATTAGCAGGCGAACACATATACAAATTATGTATGGCTTTCCAAACTTCTTTATGGGAACTACAACAACAGAATCTTTTACTATTTATACTCATTTCTTCCCCTCTCCCTTTTCTGTCCCCCCCGAACAAAAAAAAGAAAGAAAGAAAAACAGATCAGCTCTTATCACATACAAACCCAACACCAAGCTTCTATCAATGTCATAGTAATCTGCCAATAGATACTACCAAATAATTTGGGCACTACGGATATGTGCACACGGGACTTTTTATGTTTTCTCTTCCAAATTTAATAATCATACAGTTCACAAATAATGAATTCTCTCTCTAAAGGGAAGCAAAACACAACATAGATAATTCAGAAGCCACTTGACCGAAAAAGAGAAAAACTTGTAAGTTTTATAGAAGGAAAAGAACAGAAGGCAAAATTATACACTCTATAAGAGCATTACTAGTAAAACCTTATACTATTTGTTTAATATTGATATAAAATTTGGATCTGAGGAAAAAGAACTTCTAAGTAAGAAATTAAAACTTGTTTTTGACACTGGTTCAGTAGCAAAGCACACGCCCTGATCAGTTTGCCATTACACAAGAAAAAGAAAACTGGCAGTAAAAAAAGTATTTGATTTTTCAAAGCATCACAGGTCCAGTTAGTGACAGGGCTGTCCAAAAGAATGAGTACTGGGGAAAAACAAGGATAACTGAACTCATACCCGTGTCTGAAGCTGTCCACCTACCCTGAGGAGATGTGGTCCCCCAAGCATCACTGTGTCAAGAGCGAAATACCTGTCAGCTGTCTACAGTGATTACTCATGCAAGATAATAGCAAGGGCCACAAGATCTAATGGTTTCCTGATACCTATTGATTTTTTCCCCAAAACTTAATAGTTTTCCAATTTGACTGAAATAGGATTTGTGAGTAACAGGGGCGAATCAATGCCTGTTCTTTTCAAGGAAATTACTTTACCATGACAATTATTTAGCTTAGAACTGGAGAGTGTCAGTCTCCTAAACGGGAAACAACTGAATTGCCAATAAGAATTTTCTTCACTTACTTGGCTAACATCATGATTTTAATTAATGAGGGAGAAAAAAGTAAATCTACTGTGAGTATCATTACCCCAAACAATAAGTCATAAAAAAAAGTCTTAATTTTTTTCACTCAGTAAAATTCCACATTGTTCATAAACCTTTTTTTTTAATTTATGGATTACTATTCAGATAGCTTATAAGTCCTATACAGTTAACATTCGTGTAGTATTAAGTTGAATTGCAAGAGTGTATTAGAGCTTTTTTTTCTAAGTCTGATGTGTATCTTTGATAATACTTACCAGGCTACTTAAGAAAACTATTTAAAATTTAGATGAAGGTGTTTAGCAAGAGGAGTAAGATGAGAGAATAAGTTAATCAGTAGTTCCAAACACAGGGTGTTTTTTCTCCCCAGGGAATATTTGGCAATGCCTGAAGATATTTTTAATTGTCTCAACTAGGGGAATGCTACTGGCATTTAGTAGGTAGAAGCCAGGGATGCTGTTAAATATCCCACAAGGCAAAAAACAATAAAACAAAACAAAACAAAAAAAAACAAAAACATCCCACAATCCACAAGACAATCCCCTACAAAAAAGAGCTATCCAACCCAAAATATCAGTTGTGCCAAGGTTAAGAAACCCCGACCTAGATTATAGAATCTCCTTTATTCAAAACCGATTACAACAAACATTTAAAATAAATAAAATTTTACAAGCCAAGTTTTATTAGCAGCAACCCAATATACAACCTCCTGCCACAAATTTTGAAGAGTGATACTCTAAATAAGAAACAGAAAGTCCTATGTGACTTCTGAAAATTCTTATTGCTACCCTGACTAATAAGTGGTTGTGGGGAAAAAGTTTACAAAATCCAAATACTTATCAGAAACAGCTTTCAAAATGGCAAGAAGGGGAACTGAGCAAAGAATAAGTAATATAGGGAAAAGTCAACCAAGGGTAAAAGTTTCTAACCATTTCTACATTTTTGGAGGAGGGGGTCACTTTATAGGGCTCAGAGCAAAATGAACTAAAAGGTCTGAAGCTCAAGGTTGTACCTGCACAAGGTATTAATATATTTTCATGAGTGGCTGGAGGAAATTCAGGAGGGGAACACTGGGTACTTTAAGAGAACAGAACCTAGGAGTCATATTGCCCATCTGGCTCTCTCAGTCACCCCTTTTCCTTTGCTTCCCCTTCCCTGCTCTCAGCAAGACCCAGCATTCAAATTGAGGTCCAGGAGAAAAACAAGTTTAGGCAGGATGCGTAAAATATTAAAAATAACACACCAACACCATATGTAAATAGACTTATGTTCTCTACATCAACCTCCAGCATGCTGAAAAAACAATGCACATATGTTTTTTCAAAGAAATGGAACAAATAATCCTAAAATTTGTATGGAACCAGAAAAGACCTTGAATAGCCAGAGGAATGTTGAAAAAGAAAAGCAAAGCTGGCGGCATCACAATTCCAGACTTCAAGCTCTATTACAAAGCTGTCATCATCAAGACAGTATGGTACTGGCACAAAAACAGACACATAGATCAATGGAACAGAATAGAGAGCCCAGAAATGGACCCTCAACTCTATGGTCAACTCATCTTCGACAAAGCAGGAAAGAATGTCCAGTGGAAAAAAGACAGTCTCTTCAACAAATGGTGTTGGGAAAATTGGACAGTCACATATAGAAGAATGAAACTGGACCATTTCCTTACACTGCACACAACAAGAGACCCAAAATGGATCAAAGACCTAAAAGTGAGACAGGAATCCATCAAAATCCTTGAGGAGAACACAAGCAGCAACCTCTTCGACCTCAGCTGCAGCAACTTCTTCCTAGAAACATCACCAAAGGCAAGGCAAGCAAGGGCAAAAATGAACTATTGGGGACTTCATCAAGATAAAAAGCTTTTGCACAGCAAAGGAAAGACAAAAACCAAAAGATAACCAACAGAATGGGAGAAGATATTTGCAAATATCTTATCAGATAAAGGACTAGTATCCAAAATTTTACCAAACTCAACACCCAAAGAACAACTAATTCAATCAAGAAATGGACAGAAGACATGAACACACATTTCTGCAAAGACGACATCCAAAAGGCCAACAGACACATGAAAAAGTGCTCAACATCGCTCGGCATCAGGGAAATCCAAATCAAAACCTCAATGAGATATTACCTCACACCAGTCAGAATGGCTAAAATTAACAAGTCAGGAAACGACAGATGTTGGCGGGGATGTGGAGAAAGGGGAACCCTCCTATGCTGTTGGTGGGAAGGCAAGCTGGTGCAGCCACTCTGGAAAACAGTATGGAGGTTCCTCAAAAGTTGAAAATAGAGCTACCCTACAACCCAGCAATTGCACTACTGGGTATTTACCCCAAAGATACAAATGTAGGGATCCGAAGGGGCACGTGCACCCCAATGTTTATAGCAGCAATATCCACAATGGCCAAACTATGGCAGAGCCCAGATGTCCGTCAACAGATGAATGGATAAAGAAGATGTGGTATATATACACAATGGAATATTATGCAGCCATCAAAAAATGAAGTCTTGCCATTTGCAATGACATGGTTAGAACTAGAGGGTAAATGAAATAAGTAAGTGAAATAAGTCAATCAGAGAAAGACAATTATCATATAATCTGACAGATATGAGGAATTTGAGAAATAAGACTGAGGATCATAGGGGAAGGGAGGGAAAAATGAAACAAGATGAAACCAGAGAGGGAGACAAACCATAAGAGACTCAATCTCAGGAAACAAACTGAGGGTTGCTGGAGTGGTTGGGGGTGGGAGGGATGGGGTGGCTGGGTGATGGACACTGGGGAGGGTATGTGCTATGGTAGCACTGTGAATTGTGTAAGACTGATGAATCACACACCTGTACCCCTGAAACAAATAATACATTATACATTAAATGAATAAATAAACAGGAAAAAAACAATGCACATATATTACAGCTTAGAAGAAACAAAAAAGAAGATAAAAGGAAAAAAACTGAAGAAATGAACAAGGTATATAAATGACAAAGAACCCATTTTGTTAGGAAACATAACCCAAGAAGCCAAAGAAAATTCTCAAAGGCCTATTCATGATAAGGAACTTAGAAACAACAAAATCAATTAAAAACAAACTCTAAAAGGCAAGATAAAGCAGAGTAACACGATACGGTAGTTTGTGCTAAAGAAATAAACATACAACCAATAAACCTATCATTACTTAACGAATTCTTTTAAAACATCATGGAACAGAACAGATACTGGTGGAAACAGAATTACTGACAGAAAGGAACATGTAAGATGACTGAAGTAAATGCAGAAGCAAAAGACAAAACAATTAGAAGATAAAACATATGGAGAACATAAGAAAATTCAATGTAAGGAAAATTGGTGTCATCAAGTGGAGGACCCAATAACGGGACAAAAATATCTTCATGGTAATAAGGTAAATGCTCCTAAATGAAGAAATAAACCTAGAGATTACAGATTATACTGTAATCCAAGGAAAAATGATTATGAATGACACGTAGATGTACCCTGGTTACATTACTGACCTTCAAAAATAAAGGAAAAAATTGTCAGGCATTTTGGATGAGAAAGCAAGTCACTTTCAAGGAGGCAGAAAAAAATTAGACTTTTCTACACTAACATTCATTGCCCCAATATAATAAAATAATGACCACAAAGCTCTAATCAAAGTGTTCCCTAAGGATATTACCTCCTGCCAAGTTGTTTTTCAACAATGAAAACACCAGGTAGACAGACTCAAAACATTACAGGAAACAACAGCATTAAAACTCAAAAAATATATCGCTCACAAATCCTGACGGAAAAAAAAGGAAATCCAGGCAATCAAAAAATACTAAGAGAT